GACGATGTGGCCTCATATCTTTGATATGGGATGTTGCTGTAATGGTTTCTGGCCAAAGAGACTTCCTAGGCCTTACCGATCGGATGGTAAGGAGATACCGTAGCCCTGTCGAAGTTCTTATGAATGGTTCAAAAAAGATTTAAGAAAAAAACAAACAACCACATAAAACACTTACTTTGACACTGATATCCTTGCTTGCCAATGCCCCAGATGAACTCCTTACAATGAGCGCAAAAAGTCGGCTGTCGTAAGAACAACGCCATGAATTTATGACCGGTAACCTGAGCGCAATCGATTATTGATTTTTAACATTGGAAAGAATCAATCAGTATTTGATACCTCATGGATCTTCCGACGCATCGCACCACGACGCTGTCGATCGTTGAACGCACCTGTCCGCTCCTTGAAGACCCTTTCTTTGACATGGTGTGATTCTGAAATGGAAACAATTTTGATAAAAAAAATTGCTAGGAACAAGTGAAATGGGTGAATACGTTCTAAAGACCATGGTTATGAGAATATTTGAAACGAAGAAAAGTGAACTTCGAGTACTGAAGACTGGAGTGTCTATTTCTAAAGTTAATACGAAATCACAGTGCTATCGCAAGATACAGGGGCATTGGTGGCAATTTATTTCAAACCACGTGAACCACCTCCTTTCCGTTGAAAATGGGACTCAACGTTATGCAGGGAAAGAGCAGTTCCAAGGATGCGTGAGCCACTTTTGTTTTCGCCGCAGTTCCCGCCCCTCCTAAGCTTAGTCCTGAGGGATGCCCCTGTATATTGCGATAGCTCCCGAAATTACTACTGCACAGCCTTCCGGCGGCAGATGGAACGCCACTCTCCACAGCGTAGCGCACTCATTGAGCAGATGTATTCCCTTACAAGGGAGGTCGTTCAGGGTGTGCCAAGCTTTTTCAAAATGGTTTCTTGCATGACATTGGGGCACATATGGGACCACAGAACCATGGTTCATTTTTCCTGAACGGCCCTCTGAATACCAGAAAAGGGGTCCCTAGTTCGATTCCTCGTGGTGACAAATTTTTGCATTTCGAGTTGACGTTTCAAAATTCGCGCAAAATGGAGTTAGCATGAATAATTAGTACCATATTCATGATTAGGAACGTCAGTAACCCTTACAAATAGACTTTGATTGAAAAACTGGTGAAAAAGGTGTGACTAGGGACCCCCTTTTCTGGTATTCAGAGGGCCGTTCAGGAAAAATTAACCATGGTTCTGTGGTTCCCGCATGTGCCTATATCATGCAAAAGACCGTTTTGAAAAAGCTTGGCACTGAAAGACCTCCCTTGTTAATCCCGTTTTCAGCCTCAGCATTCCACTTGCTTCGGCAGTACATTCTGAATCTTGCTCAGTTCTGTGAACTGCGACCATGATTCGTAGTTTTGTATTTATTGTCGCAATCCCTTTCTTCCAACAGTTTCCGTCTGACTCAGCACATAGCCGATCGAAAACTGCCCAAACAAACGTCCGATGGCCGATAAAGCCACAAGCCTCATTCAATTCCACAGATTATGAGAAACTCAGGCAGGGATAGCCGAGTGGTAAAGGGTGCAGGCTCATGCTTACAACCCTGAATGCTACGAGTTCGATCCTTAGCAGTGGTTACCTATGCCCTGCAGAAATTTCAAGAATGGTTCTATTACTAGCGTCAGGCTCAGGTTTACAGGCCAGCTGATGGAACTCCTGTCACAACAAATATGTCCAAAGTTGGAAAAGGAGATTATGAGAAGCTCGAAGAGGACTATGGGTGGTAGTACTGTAATCGCAAGTGGTGCTGGCTACCAGTGGCACGGTCCGAAGCACGGTCGAGCAAAATCGCGGAAAGAAATCCACACAGACCACCTTCCAATCCTCCAGGGCCACATTTCTGGATTCGTTTTGAGAACGCGGGAGCGGGAGAAAATGGAGTCATGAGGTATTTCCATCGCGAGTCGGAACCTTTCCCGAGGTTGTTAGGTTCTTCTGGCCGGCACTTCCCCAGAATGAGGCATGAGGCGAGATTAATCTGATCATTAATCAGTTGCGTCAAGCTTCACACTTAATTCGCCTCACTGGTTCATCTGGTGCCTGTCTCCGCGAAGCAGAGACGTAGAGCAAATTAACCACCAATTAATCACGGCGACATCCGTCGACAGCTACCACCTCACGGGCTCACTGAAGATGTCTTGAAATCACGAGATTAGGCCGATAGATTTCTTACAGCTGTCATTTATACGTAAGATTGCTTACAAAATGACCGCGCCCAGGCTCAACATATTACAAGACATTTCTCGACCACTAACCAACACTTGGCGCACCGCCAACAGCTTAAGACTTTGTAAAATGCGCACAACGGTTACCTAGAGTCTCTGGCAAGATAGGACATTCAGCGTAACATTATAAATGAGGGAAACGATCCCACGTTTCCCCCAGAAGCCCTCATTGCTCTGTGGTCTCCGTGGCTACGATCGATAAGTGCTAGCCGAGCCGCATTCCATAATCCGACTATTACCCGAAGACCATTCAATCTCTATCACACCTGCGCTTACCTCACCTCAACCCTTCCATGTGGTCATTGCCTATTCTAGAATTTTCGAGATTCTGCAGTATCTGCAACTCCCATGGGTGCAATTTGCGTCACTATCAAGTAGTCGGTAAGGCTAGAGTAAGGGCCAAAGTATGTACAGCGGCAGGCAGATGCTGCGCTTGCTCTGGCTGTACCATCTTCAACAAAATCAACCATCCCATCGGCATCAGCTAACCAAAGGGTGTCACATATACCTTAGAAAATCAGAGCAGTGCTCCGAATTTGGCCGAGATGGGGTGGAAGGCTGCGGTAGCCTGGTCGAGATTCGAGCCGATATATCAACCAAGCAGAAATGATTTTTTTCGTCCCCCTCTCACAGTACTTCCGGAGTAGTCCAGTACTACAAATAGGTACATAGTAGTTAGCATAAATTTCGCATGTTCAATCAACTGTGAAATGTAACTCCTCTCTCATTTCCATTCCTTTTCTTACTGCAAGCCTCTGTAAGAACACGAGAGCCGACTCCTTTACATTTCCCGATGGAAATCAGATTCATGGCGCTTCCTACAGGAGTTTACCAGTTTAACGCCAACCTATCTGACTTCTATTCCTCGACCATTTGTACTCTAATTTCATATTTAATCCTCTCAGTTACATCAGGATGAAAGACTGTTCTGTCTCCTCTCATAGGGTTGGCCTGACCCTAACCTCACTAAGATTTCTACCTATCACAAATCTTATCATTGCAGCCTATACATAATAATGAATCGTATTTAACTGTGTTTGAACTAGAACCAAATCGCGCAAAAATCGAATATTCAAAACCCACTGTCACTTTCCAGTCTAGCGTGTCCAATAAAGAATTGCGTAACAAAATTATCTGAAGCTTTAACAAAAAATGAATTATTACTGATATTACTAATACACCAATAAGTAAACTATTTGATGCTGATTAGGTCTGTTTGAAGTCTGCCCCGCCCTCGATTTTTGTTGAAAAGCACAATGGCTTTGTAGTGGCATTTCAGCTGTAGGATACATTCTGAAACCACCCGATGTACGAATCGGCGCTTCCAGAAGTAAATCCGGTACCACCCAACCGATGAAAACTGGCCTGGGCTCTACAAGCCTGTGCCATATTTGACCCAGGACTAGATTCAGATTCAGCTAAGTTCAGCGTCTGGGAGCTTTCCGGGCATTATAAGCAGAGATAACTTTTGTGGCTACAGTAGTGCATGGGAGAATGGCACACACAGTAGCGGTCAAAAGAGTTCGCCGGAAACGGTTTTTCGTGCTTCTCTTTTTTTGCCAGAAAAAAACAATTATGACCTCGAAATTTTCTTTTGAATATCCTGATTCTTTAAGACTTGAGGATATAAAAACACTAGAAAACATAGTATATCAATCTTTGGAGGGCGTTGCTCGAAGCGAGAAAAAATAATGGCAATTTTTCAATCTCGCAAAGCAGGAGAGACTTCAAGGTGTGTGAGCAATTTTCATTTTCCCCAGACTTCCCAACCACCCCTCCTAGGCGTTCCGCTAGAGGATTGTATCTTGCGAGAGCGCTCATTACTATGATTTATTATATTTCTTCCTACTATTTATGAATACATGAAAAATAATTATAGGCTATAAAGCCCTCTGTTTTCACGCCTTCTCGTTTTTTTTGCTCCACCATATTTATTGCCTCAATTCGTTGCTTAGTAAAAGCTTTCGAAATGACATATGGTGACGAATTTCTTTTTGATTCGGCCATGTCATTGCAACTTCAGTTTATGGCCATCGGGACCGCCTTATCTCAACTTTTCCCCGACTCGATAGCTCGCACTCTGTCTCGTTTGCTTTATGCCTTCGAAGGCGTATAGATGGCCTATTTTAATGATCTACTAGGATTACACGAGGTGATGAGATGGACGCGTGGAGGAAGGAAGATTACAGCCTTCTTCTTGATTGTACTATTCGGCTGTCTGTTGACAATCATCACCTTTCACTACTCTGGCGACCACCCACGACAACTGACAGAAGCTAGAACTAGCGGTCAGAAGGTAAGCTGCTAGCATTATTCACCCATGAACTTTTTCAACAATAAGCAGCTCTCTAGCTTCCTAACTGAGCAACAAGCTTCGCCCTCCTCTGTTTCCTTAGCCGTGCATTGCCATGAACCGCCTGTAAAGAGTATGTCTTCTACGAGGCGTTTTCGACTATATCTTTTGCTTCTTTCTAAAAAGCTGGGAGCCTGCTAGCTACGTAGAATAAGCAATCGCAAAGCAGGGGCCAGTGTTCGTGTCTGGAGTGACGTCGGCGTTGCGCCAATAACTCGTTATAATTGCAGTCATTGCCTGTTAGCTCCTTAATAATCAAAAACCACATTGCTGTGGAAGTTGCTAGATCCTACTAGTTCTACTTTTAAAATCTCGGTATAAATATTAGGTACCGGATATCTTAGTGTCGCTTTTCTGAGTTCAGGAAGTTTTGGGGCCGATTACTATGGAAATCGTATAACTGTCGTATAATGTATGCTTATTGTTTTCTATTGTTGGTTCACAATTTAATTTTCCCCCAATTTTTATACTTTTTTTTTTGAATTCTGGGTTCTGTGCAATGTGAGTGTGTACGATGTTCATAATTGTTGCGGAGAGTACGTTTTTGCCACCAATCCAATTGCACTTTTTGTGTGTCGGCGAAGTGCGGTTATACCATTTAAAATGCTCATCCCGGTTGTGTTCACGATATGTGCTGTTTCTTAAAGACGTGTGTCTTTGAAGTGACCTCAATCTCCCCGCATGTAGTCGTCAAAGGTTGGCCCTAGTTAGATAAGTCGAGCGGGGCGTGCACCCATCTTGTGCGAAATGTGGAACTTTAGTTAGTGATTGGATCAATGGATGCTCCGTTGCTGTTAGGGAGAGATTGCAAGAGATTTCGAAACAATTGTGCTCGTCGTCCACGTGGGTTCGACAGGTGCGTTTTTGAACCCTTATGTGGCAAAGGATCCACTGGGCAAATGTGTCAGTTCGAGCTTGGCATTATTTTAAGTCCTCCCTCCGTAAGGCCTTACTTTAATCAATGGTTATTCTTTTGTTCCCGGGCGACTGTTTTAGCAGTGAGGGGGGCTGGTTTGTCGAGGGCCATTCAGTTGAAGGATATCGTCGCAGATGTCAAGATGATACTCGTCATTTTTCGACTCAAAAAGATTCCAGTAGCTTTTATTGGTACGAGTTTTCCATTGTAAATGAGCAGTGTAGATGATGCTTTGCGATGTGTGCCCGATTAGAATAAATATTTTTGTGGATCCGAGAAGATTATGGTGTAAAATAGCTCACTAGATATTCGCCAGGTATGCCGATATGATTTGAAAGTTCGAGACACTTTAAACGCCGTTTAGAAAATCCTGGCTGATCATGGTAGTAAGCAATGTCTCCCAAGTGCCCCGTTCAAGCAATAACTGGACTATTTTAGGGTTTCGCCACATCAACGACCGGATCTTTTGATCGAGATATCGGAATTCATGCCAACCGAGGCATTGAATGTAACGGACACCATTGATGTTATCTTGACTTGTTCGGATGATGAAGTGGGTCCGAGCGTAGTTGATGTCTTTATTTAACTATATTAACTTTTGAGTACAGAAAGTGTTAGGAGTATTAATCATTGATCAATCCCTTTTCGGGACAGCCAAGCATGATTTGCTTTTCAGTATGAATAGTTGTTGGACGTGGGAGTGCAAATTTGGCCATAAATATATAATCAGCAAGTAAATAGTGTTTTTCTATTCATTTTTTACTCTAAGAATATACTCCGGAAAAATACAAAAAAAGCGTTGCAGGAATGGCTTCACGTGGATCGAACAGCTATCGCCGCTACCGGACTATCACTGGCTTGTTTCTATAGGTGCTACGATCGCGTTGAAGGTGACGATCTGCAGCTACAGTATGCCGATTGGATCCAATTACACGTGATTTTTTTCGAGAATTGCTACACCAAAGAGCTGGCACAGGAATGTTGAAAGCTGCAGTAGAGCACAAAGCTCAGCCGTGAAGTTCCCTTTCGGAACGCAAGGGGCTCAGATATATGCAAACGATACGTGAGACATTTCGGATGGCAGGAACAAAATTAGAGAATTGCGTAGTGGGGGGTGCTCTTTAAAAGTCCTGAAAATGAGAATAAGGCTCTTAGTTACGACCCACACATGGGAACGTCAAAGAAGCGTTTCGATTCAGGCAAAAGGAGGTTCAAATTAGGTTAGAGGTGAAACAACTGTTTCTTTCCGTGCTCTGTTAGAAAAAACCACGTTTTCGCTTCTGGTCACAAGTGCTGGAATAAAATCCATCCCAAAAACATTCATTGCACAGTTTCGACTGCTATGCCGAAAAAATGGAAACAAAAACTTTCAAAGGCTCAGTCACACAACATCTTCCCATTAATAACCACCCAAACTTCAGCGCTTTTAGAACCAAACACGTCCTGGATGCGAGTTCATGGAAACGTACTGCAAGAAGACAACCTTTCCCAGTACTACTGTCTACTACAACAATCCATAATCCAAGTGCTCAGACGACATTTCTCACCAACAGTAGCCGATAAAGGCGGCAAGAAAAGTGTAATCGTAATTGTATTCGATTCGATATCGCACTCGAATTTCATTCGAAATATGCCGAAAAGTTTGAAGGTGAGAGGTGTTTTACAGAAATGTTTTATGTGGTTTGTTGATTATGGTACTTTTTATGAACACTTGAATGTGAAAGAGTTCCTTAGGACTCTTACAAAACAATATTGCTTAATCGGTACAGAAGTCTAGGAATAAAATAATATAAAAAAATAACTGGAGCCCGTTCGACTAACTATACATAGTAATGGGAGAAGCAGAAGCATCAGACAAGGAAAGTTAAATTAAGGCGGCAAAGAAAAGTTATACGCCAGTGTAGTAGAAAATCCGCCCAATGTAGGTAGGGCCCGCCTTTTCTACGAATTTTTTAATTCTTTAAACATAACAGGTTAGACTAGCGTGTAATCCTATTTGAATTATAGATATTTCTTTATTTACTTCTTTTACCAAAGTTTTTGAGATAAGAATAGAAGAATTGAGTAACGACTTTTACCACTAAAGTTTAAAATATATCCAAAATATGACCAGTTCCCTTACTAAGTGCGGCAATTTTTACACCTGTTTAATATGACCCCTTCCGATGGATTTTCAAGAAGTGTATTTAGAAAGGGGAATCAACGTCTCGTAGATCCTGTTGTCTGATGTGGTTTTCCATTTAATCTCTTAAGGCAATCAGGAGCCCATTTTTCCAAACATGAAACTTTGCCAAAAAACGTCCATGAGAAGTTTAATCCGTAAAATCTTTTTCAATTGGTTCTAAAAGCAGCATTGTACTAAATCGTACCATATTTGATGAAGATTGGATCGAGCAAAGGATGGTGATCAGTCATTCCCGAACGCCGGTCTCATGTCCTTGGCAGGTGAGCACGTTCTTCTCACAATAATCCTGATTATTTTTCTGACAAGGCAGGTATTGCGGGTCGTTGATAAGTCCTAAGAGCTCAGTCACTCTACCACTCCTTACCATGCGAGGAATAAGGTTGATTTTGTTCATTAGAATGGCTCTAAGGGAGAGCCGATGAGTGAGGCAGTGTTTTCATCGCCCCTCGAGAAGTTCTGGTAAAAGACGCATCAAAATACCGTCGCTATACTTGAAGCATATCAATTCGACTGCAAAGCAAGTATAGAGAGAAGACTAGTCTACGTTTGAGGCCAGAATAAGCTATCTCCGAATTTCAATTAAACTCGAAAATGTCCCTATACGAAATACGAAATGAAATAATATAACATTTGTATGAAAATATTACCAGGACGCGATCACTCAACAGAGTTTGGCGACACAACGGGCTTTTTCGACGATCATCCGCTAATTTGGAAAGATTTTGAAAGATTTCGAAAGAGCGGTGAGGCTTTTAAAAATAGGACTTTTCGACCTTTCCTAGAATTTTCGAATGTGAGCAGTTAAACCTGCTTTATGACAATTATGCAATGGTGTCCTTTCAATCGATTTATAGATCTACAGGGCTACAGTACCTACTTACGCTGAGGATTATCCGAAATTCAACCTGTTCTACTATCTTGCCAAAGGATTTCGCCGAAAACCAGTCCATCACTACTTCAGGTGATTTGAATTTACAGCCACCACGCACCCTCAGTATCCGGCGGCCAGGTTGTGAAGCCTGTACTGCAGGCCCCACAACCCAGGTGACGACAGTTTTCAAAAAATCTCATACATAAAAGTCTCCAGTGATAGCTGATTAAGGATGACATAATTAGTGACAATGAGAAGAACTGCATCGGCTATCATTTCGTTGGTAGAAAACTATCACATTTTGCTGAGGGTGTCGTCGATCGGATTGTGGAGTCTGCAGCGCAGATGCGCCTGACAGCCGGCTACTGAGGAATACATTCATTTCTCTCTAAGCCGCTCAAAATATGGAGTGGCTTGGTGCTCAGCGCTCATGTTCACTGAAGATGCGCCACGCATTTTACTTATTCGGTACAAAAAGTGAATCCAAGACCAGTCACCTTCCGACTAAATCTAATTTTTGACCAGCCTAATTGGATACCTTGAGAGAATGAGCTTTAGATGACCTATTATCTGATCAGTAAGAATGAGGTCACGCTTACAAGACTTGAGCTTTCTGACATCAACTGCCCTCCATCTAAACCTCATCCGACTACCTAGCGAAGCTACACTGAAGACGAGTGCAAGTCTTACCTATGCCTAATTTTCAGGCCATTTTGGTTGAACGTCTACGGCAGTTTTCTGCATCGTAGAAGTAAATTTCTATGCTATGGAAATCATGCTATGCATAATATTCAGCTAAACTATTTATCGCAATTTTTGCGTAAATATGAAGGTCAGTATTTGTACGAATTTGCTATCTCCACAAAAAAATGATGAGTTAAGGTTTAGATTCGCCGAAATTCGCTCTGAATTGGTTAACTGAACTTGGTCACGACTACATGAATCAAGTCAATGTTGCTGATGAGGACTTTGCCGAGTTTCTCACGGAACACTTCGATCTACTCAAGGTAACATCGA